CACACACACACGCACGCACGCACGCACGCACGCACGCACGCACGCACCACGCACGCACGCACGCACGCACACACACACACACACATATATATATATATATATAAATATATGGTCGTAATAATAACATATAAAACATGACAATTTCAAATGTGATATATACATTCAGATCACCTAAAACACAAGTGCTCGTCGGATGACAGAAATAATTACACATTTTCATCCGACTTAGTATGAAATTATACAATCATATGCGGTTCTCATCACATGCAGTGTTAGTTAGGTAAGCTAAGTCTTTTACGTACCTGATTGTTAGCTTGGTGAGGTTGTTGTGTGTTTCGATGGTGATTCTGCCTCCGGGACACAGTTCCTCGTCCCCCTTGAACCACTTGACCTCTGGTATAGGATCACCAGCAAAGCGCACCTACGAGAAAGCAATCATTTGATAGCAGATTATAAGGCATCGGTTACAGAAATGAGCAGAAATAGTCCATCCATTTCGGTGTATATCTTGGATTCGCAAGTGTAGTCAATAGGTATACATTTGTATGAACATTGTTGTATTTTATATGTCGTTATGCTTGCTAGATTTCTTGCATTTATTTGAAAGAAGCGTTACATATATCGAAATATCGACATTTTGTCCAGACTAAACAAAATAAACCAGTTGGTAGTTAATGAAGTTCTATTCCTAGGCTTCTAGCATACTACTTACTTTAATGGTGACCTTCTTTCCCCGGCGGATGGTGACGTTGCCGGGACCCTTCTCAATCTTAGCGGCGGACAGCCCACCTCCCTGCTTTCTCATATGTTCGTCATCCTCTGCATCTGTTAGCAGCAAGCAGTTGCCCCGTCAGAGAAATACCATGGTGCGCACACACACGCGTAACTCATCAAGTGCGAATACAAAACGTGACCAGATTTTAAATATTTAAACCAACTTGTTAAAAATAAATATATTTGCGAAAATAAATATTTACGGGGCGTGGAAGCAGACCAGCTGCATGTATTAAGTAAGTACACTTAGTTAGAAACGACGTCAAATATTCACAGTTGGTTAAAACTCATTTGCTAAAATAAAGACTTCAAATGTTAAAACGGATTATAATAAACAGTTGTAAAACGTCAATTTTTTAAAGATACACATAAATAACATTACAGAAAATATTAAAGGACCAGGGTGGCGGTCAATAGAAAGGTAATGCACCTGTGTAATTAAGCCGGTATTATACGCACATCAACTAGTCAACCAAACCAGTGTGATTACGATTTTTTTTTACTGTACTAGCAATATAAAATCGTGAAAATCACACTGATACTTCTCTGTTAACCGCAAACAGTCACTGCGTTCCAGAAAAAGCTGCCAGGTAATCCGGGAAACTGACGAGTGTTGTTTTTGTTGGATGATATTGGCTAGAGCTAGACTTTTAATTTCCACGGGATCTAGATTTGACGGGTGTGTGAGTGCGCGCGCGTGTGTATGTATGTGTGTGTGTGTGTGTGTGTGTGTGTGTGTGTGTGTGTGTGTGTGTGTGTGTGTGTGTGTGTTGTGTGTGTGTGTGTGTGTGTGTGTGTGTGTGTGTGTGTGTGTGTGTGTGTGTGTGTGTGTGTGTGTGTGTGTGCGTGTGTGTGTACACGCGCTCGTGGGTGTGTGTGTGAGTGTGAACACAGTGTTCCGATTGCCTTAATTTGATTGCGTATAATACCGCATTAATTTATGGTGACAATGTACAACCACTATATAAAAGAAATTAATTAAATATAATCAAATGCATGCAGTCCATGCATCAAAAAGCAATAGGTGTTTTTGTGATAACATGCTCAATGTATAAATTAGAAAGACTTGAGTTACACGCAAATGCACTATAAAACTAAAGGTCGGCATTTTAGTTACACGAAATAGTGACATAGACAGCTTACTATGTGCATAAGCAATGTTTAAATCATGTTAATACTGTCATTAACCCGATTATTAGCCCGATAGAAGCACAAGTTACTAACTATACGAGTGTGATAACATTTGAAGCATATGAAATTCTAGTTTAAGATGAAAGATGACACGCCAAGCCGTCAGCTCATGTCTGACTTACAACACCCACGGTCGAGCCTCAACTGACATTTGCACAAATTATGAAAGCTGTCATCTTTCAGTGAAATTGCTTATTCTAGATTTCTAGAGGCTTCAATAATCTTTAAATATATTATATATCGTAGCATTATACAAACTAAGATATCCACAATCAATCAATATAAACATAGAGTGATAGGACATTAATAATTTGTATAGTGTTACATATAATATATATATATATACATGATTAACGACATACATGTTAATAAATAAATAAATAAATAACATATACCAAAGAACTGTGTAACAATATAATAGAGACAGATGCGAAAACAAACGCTACGAAAAAATGTCGTTGTGAATCTACTATACACACGCAAAATCGACGATTCTTCAAAGGCACTGTGTGTCATTTCTGCAAGATGCTACAGTAATTAAATCACAATACATTAGGCTAATGCTTATTTGGTCATGGTCACTTGTTTCCAATCTTCGAGAAGCACATATTTCATACGTTCTATATTGCTATAGAATATTTTGCAGACATCCGTGAAAAAGATTTTGAAAAAGAAAAAGAAAAAGAAAAAGTTTTGAGCTAACATGCATTCTATAAAGGACATTGATACTGGCCTATTTGCGGTGCCTGTTTCTTGTGTTATTAGTGAGCAGTAAATTAGAATTGTGTGTTATTGAGAGAAGCAATCCGCTATTATTATTATATTATTGATTCGTCTTTGTACCTTCTATGGTTTTCTCATTCCTGTGGTTATCTCAAATTCGCCACCGATATACTTCCAAAACCATCCAAGTAATCCATAAATTCACCAGGTTTTCTGACAAACACCTTCATAGCCACCGTAAAGTGCAGGCTTTTATGCGTTTTATTTTTTGTCGGTCTTTCATCATCGTGTAAAAATTGCCATACGCCTTTATTAAGTAGCTAGGTGCGTGAATCGTCCAACCCATTTTTATGACAATTGTTGTTGGGAAACCATCTATGAACGCCAACGCAATTCTTCTAACTGTTTGCTATCACGGCAAAATATCAAACCTGACCATTGACAAAGCTAATGTGCGATAGTGCAAGATTGCCACCAATATCTTTAATAAATGGACCCCATGTGCATATACCTGTGCTCCTTGTGATCGCACCAGTTCCGCCGTGTGGCTAACTATGCCCAATATTCCCTGTCTCTTCGGCTATTTCTGTTGGTATCGGTATTGCTGTACTTACATTTTTCCTATATGTAACTTACGCGGTAGAGTCCCTGCAGTGGAAAGCGTTTTGTTGCTCCATGCAAGTCTATTTAAAAAGGCTTGCTGGCAAACGTGCACTTTCGCGTGTCAGGTTTGAATTTTCAGATGGCATGCGCAATCGAAACAACGTGACATGACCAAATCTCTTAGCAATACTTACAACCAATGAAAGGTTGATACGTCAGTGTATATGTGTTTTTCCCACAATCGTATCTCGGAGGTTTCATTCAAAGCATAAAGAAATAACAAGACATCAGTTGTAAGGTCAGCCTTTCGTGGTTAGTATTACATTTATAACTATATACACACGGGATGTGATCTATAAGGAAGTTAGGTAACATAATAACGTGGCATATTGGGAAAGTCTGTAAAGAAAGTTTGGCATTAGTTAGGACATTCTATTTATTTTATTTATACTATATTTATGCTATATATTTGTAATAAAACTAGAAATTGGTCTCTCTGTCTTGTTCCGCATAGAACCAATTTCGTCAGCAGTGATGATATCACGTAAATATGCCACGCCCACAAGCTTGAATTTTTATGCGTTATATTTTTCCTCGTATCGGACCGAATTATGGACTTACCTCTATCGCCGCCTTTGTCGAACAATGACTGACAATACGTAAGGGCTTATGTAATATAATTCAGTTTACAGACAATGAGGGATGCATTAATTCGTTCGCAAATAGTATCACACATAAGGAAAACAGAACGATGAATAGTTGCAGACATAACGCCCTATCACAAATATGCTCTAAGAATCTAAACCACAAAGCCATATATATTAGCACAATTCAGATGACAATTTTAGAAGAGGTGTTGGCAATACAACAACAGTATAAAGTTACACACATCGTAGCTATATCAGTATAATACTGAATAAGCTTATTCTGATAAGGCGTTCAAGTTAACTAGTAACAAACGAGCACTTTTTAACAGACATGCATTTAATGGAAACTAAGAATAAATCTATACTAAAAAACGTCATCCATACGAGAGGTTTCTTTCACATAAAATAAACGCATGGGAAATCGGTCAAGCTTGTTGAAATAAACGTAGAGCACTGTGCAATTGACACAAGCAGCAATGGTCAACGTAATTCAAACACAAATCGGCTCACTCTTGAAACAAAACGCGAATCATTGATATCACTGGTAAATAATTGGTAAAAAAAAACTGGTAAAGGGGAAAAAATTCGTGCCTATCATGTTTGCAGTGCCGGAAGAAGCGACTACACGCACGCCACCTACCTCTAACAGACAGCTCGGCTGCGCACGAAGTCTCTCCAGCGACGTTGATGGCCGTACATTTGTACTCGCCCTCGTCGTGCGCCTTCGCATGTCGTAGCTGCAGCCTGGCAACCTCGCCGTCATAACTCATCCTCGAGTCGGGAGATTCCCTGAAAAAATGGCCGCGAAGGTCAACCGTAGGTCGGAGAGCAGCCGACGACGGAGCTGCGTTAATTGGCGCATATCGAACCAGATTATAGAAATTTCGAACCAGAAATTTTATATATAGAGCGATTTTTTCTCCATGAATAAGACATCTGTCTTCAGTACATGTATATATATTTGAATTAAATGCAATAAAGATTTAATAATAATAATAATAATAATAATAATAATAAAATCGACAACCGACGTCTGCACGAAATAACTCCCAAAAGCAATGCTGGTTTTAATTGTTATTTCGGTACTGCAACTACGGTAACGTAGCACGCACGGTGGCGTTGTGTAGGTTTTCGCGCTGGACAACGTGTAATGATGTGTATGATGTGATGATGTGTGACCGCCGCGTACCTGATTCTATTGTCGTCTACTGTCCAAACAATTTCTGGTTCCGGTTGACCTGATAAAACGCATTCGAACGTGACCGGGTCGCCCTCCCTGACTTGTTTGTCCATGAACTCGCGCGAAAATTCTGGTTTGCGACGAATCTCCACGTGTCTTTTCAGCACGCGTCGGAAGTCTTGCTGTTGAACCTCCGTGGTCTCCGTTTCAAAATACTCAGTTCTATAAAGGCAACAGCAACATCGTTTACAGCTTCCGTGTGTGAATCTCACGAGGGATGAAGATCACCTTACGATTATCTCGAAGATTCTATTGTAGCGACCAATGTTACACTCGGATTGTATTCGGTTGAGCCGTATTTGTGTCGTGACAGTGTGCCATCGTGCCAATGACGACACCCGCGAGTATCCACGATGGAGCTATTAGTAAGCCCAGCCATCACGTCGTGGATACTTGATGACGGCATGGGAAAAACTACTACGTCTATTAGTCATCCATTTAGCCACGCTAGTGGATGCTTCATGGCAGGCCATTAGATGCTGTTACCTGTGGGAACACGGGGAAGACGTAGACGAATGCGCGCGACATAAGAGCGGAAAGAAGGCGATAGAAATAGGGCGTTGGCGCGTATCGGGGAACACTCTTTTACCGTGCACACCAGCGCCAAGTAGCTATATAGGTTTAGCTTTAGACTATAAGAACAAAAGATATACTATTACTTTAGATATCGACTTGAATTTTGCCAGTACTTTTGTCTTACCTGTGCTGCGTTTAGGATGTTGCTAACCTTTATATATAATAAATAGCGCTTATTAGTTCTAAGCTAAACTCAGTCTGACTAGTAAATAGACTCAGTCTTCACTGTAAATATGGGGCGCAGACAAATTGACATAAAACATATATGCTCAAGGCACGACCTTCTAAGACGAATGCTCACACAACAAATCCCATAACATTTAAGGAAAGAGAGAGAGAGAGAGCGGAAAAAGAGAGAACGAGCGAGACAGCGAAAGAAAGGAAAGAAAGAGGAAAGGAAGAGGATGCGATGGAGGCGGTTGTAGCGGCAGGGACGGTAGAAGTGGCAGTGGGGTAGAAAAGTAGACGAGGTGGAGGTTAGAGGATGATACCGGATAGAGGAGACAGAGCACGGGGTCAAGAAGGTCGATAATGAGATTGGAAAATCGTAGTGAAGGTACAATGAGTGGTGGTGGAGGAGGAGGAGGAGGAGGAGAAGGAGAAGGAGGAGGAGGAGGAGAAGGAGGAGGAGGAGGGAAAATATGTCACAAGCAAAGCTAAGATGGATAAGCCACAAACGACGTCAAACAGGTTATTAGTCCCCGAACATATTTTCCAAATTTTTGCACGTTTATGAACATTTTTAATCAAAAAGGAATTTGCTTTTTTCTTGTTAGTATTGTGAACATTCATCTTGGGATCATTTGTCAATGGCTTTGTCACTCATTATATATATATATATAAGTGCAAGCAATGTAGCCATTAATATGCTCGCCGTAAACTAATAACGATTCAAAAAGTCCCAATGCATTATCAAACGCCTAAGGGAAAGCAGTGGAGATGATCTACTGCACAGGACGACGTAAGATTCTAATATTGGCCACCATTTATGTCATATTATGCGAACGCGTGATAATATTCGGGGCTGCAAGGATGCAAAGGGCACGTCGTCATCGCGCATTATGTGTTTTTGTCTCGCTCATTTCATGCATACATAAACACGATCATGGACATCTTGTCCGTTTTTCTTGGATGGTTTATAGGTTGTTGTGTGTATCGCCGCGCCCCCCCTCCACCAATTTCACGGGTAGCAATAATGTCGGCGATTTCAGTATGCGTGAATGTGGTACGTATCTCACGCACACACACGCACTCACGCACGCACGCACGCGCACGCAAACACGCACGCACGCGCACGCAAACACGCACGCACGCACGCCCGCACACACACACACACACACACACACACACACACACACACACACACAATAGTTAATATACCTTGAGTATTCGTCATCGTCGCTGCCAGGGTAAACGTTTATGGAGACTGTGCACGAATGTTCTCCCTGAGAGTTCCTTGCTGTCACCGTCAGGCGACCTTCGTCATCCATCCCTACGCTGGGAATTTCTATAGCATTCGCGTAGCCTTCTCTTATCACCTAAAGCAACATCACGTGAAAATGAATGGTTGCCATCGAAGAGGTAAAATGTTACAGATCAGTCATGTCCACATATCAATACAAATATTGTTTGGTATATACGTACACGCGTAAACGCGTGAACGTCGTTCAAATAGCTGTGAATTACTAGATTTCGCAATTATTTGTGGCGCGTCGTGTAAGCTTTTAATATGGTATGTGTACAGATTCATCTCGCGAAATCGAAAGACACTATATATAGCTGAATGCCGAACGAAGCTTGAACATACAATACTGTGCGTGGCACTGTACCGCGCCTGCTTTCGTAGACCAGGCAACGAACAAGCATAAACTGCTGTTCCAGCAATACTAAAAACAACGAATCTTTGCCTCCTGCAGTAAAGAGGCTAGCTATCCGATACGTATCCGAGCTATTCGTGCCGAGTATAGGCGTCAGCAATGGAACATATAGTTAATCGTCAAATCAAGCACATGACGTACGCCCTTTAAGGAAAAAGTAAATAAATAAGGATAAGTAATAAGATAAAGTAATAAAGTAATACGTCCTCAAGCGCTTGCACGGGTATTGCTCTAATGAGACATGCGGCTAAACAGAGGAATTGCTCCGACCTGTGATTGGAAGATCAAATAGAATTCTCAGAACTGTCAGTATTAGATATCTCACTGACTGTACTAACAAGATAGTTTGTTTTCAAACGATTACAACGTTTACACACTTCTCCGAATATATTTGCCAACTTTTGCGAATAGTTCCTTGTTAAAGTAGCGTTCGTGTTGTATTCGGAGCGGTTTACGCCGTTTACGGTTTAGCCGCTGACTCCATGGCAACATCACTAAACAGCTAGAGCTCAAAAACATCAGCTGATGTGACGTTTTGATACAGGAAGACCGGCATATGTGAAGGGGAAGGGGAGAAGAGAAAAAGAAAAGAGAGGGAGAGGGGAAAGTTGAATACGCAATAGCTACTTCCCTCACCACATTAGACTAGGTTTTGTTATCAATCGAGTTGTATGCGTGTCATATATTGACAGACCTGAGAAACGTCACGAATTATATTTTTATCTTCAAATCACAGGTCGGAGCAATTCCTCTTTTTAGCCTCATGTCTAATAAGGAGTAAACGTTTATTGACAAATGAATCGAATCAATCACACATCCCCTCGCATCCTGTCACATCGTACATGCAGCCCTGTGCGCTGAATCGCTTAGCTAAACACTATATATTTAGTCCGAGCAAAAATTCGACGGCAAAAAACTTGCACTTCTACTCGATTACACTTTTTTTTAGCACATCTTTACGTTGCTGTTTAACACAGAACTAACCTTGAATCTACCGCCAGGTCGGATCGGCTCCCCGTCCTTGAACCACTCGACGACAGGTAGCGGCACGCCGTCGACCTTGCAGGAGAAGCGCACGGGGGAACCCTCGGTACCGCTCCAGGGCTTCGGCTTCTCTAGGAACACGGGCGCGCACTTATCCTCGTCAAACACCTCTGTGATCATGCAAGACAAACGAGGCAAACTTACACCAACGTATATATTATATACGATCCCTTATACCAGTGGTTCTTTACCATTTTTGAGGCATGGACCCTTTTGAGAATCTGGTGAAGTCTACCGCCCCCTCTCCAGAAAAAATACACATAAGCACACAAACAAAAGTTTGCATGCGCCTGGTTCACGGACCCCCTCTAGCCCATCCACGGACCCCAAAGGTGTCCATGGACCACAGATTAAGAACCCCTGCCTTAAACACTGGCGATTATAGGGATGTATACCTACTACTATAGAGTAGCTTGTGCGAAAACTAAATACTGGTGTTTTTAGTTTGATATTGGTTTGACTGATATTTTAGCAAAAATAAGCTCCGTTCGCACGCCAAGGTAAACGGTGCCCAGTTTAAACCCACTGCGTTCACAGGAAAAGGTATTTAGTACAGGTATATGTGTGGACGGAGTTTAATTTGTACGAGAATGTTTACCGCGAACTCGGACTGTCAACTTGACATCAGAATGTTCTGTGACCTCCATGTCTTGTAGATGCTGGACGAACTCGGGCGCTTCTAGATGAGACGAAGCTATAGGAAAAAATCATATTACGAGTTATATGTGAATTGACAGTCCCGGACCGAATCTGAATTTTTTTTAGAATTTATTTTAGGAAAATGGTGTAGGGATTAGAACTAATCATAAATACATTTGTAAAAACAAATAGAGCATACATATTATGGCTGTATGGAAAATTTAGCAATGGTACTTAAATCTTGAAGGTCAAATCAGTCACACTTAATCACTCAAAAAACTAGCCGAATAATCGAACGCGGTTTATTTTTTCTGGGTCATGCTAATTTGTATATAAAAATGTAGCTGCAATATATTAAAAAACTATCAACGAATCAAGGTTTGCTTTTCATTGTCTGATTACTATATTTCACGCGTCAACCTTGATTTTCAGAACATTCCAGAATCCACGGCGGTTACATGTGCCTTTTTTATTCGTCCAAATGGGAAAATCGTGCTATAGATTTTTTTTAATCCAAAATACCTCCTATCGCATGAGCGCTCACTATTATATTTCGTGTTGAACGTCTATACTTGCACTTTTAAACGTCAAAATATCGAAAAAAACACGTTACGTTAACAAAAGTTGTCGACCCTTTTCTTTTCCTCTTTTAACTAAAGAGTAGGCAAGTGACCTATAGTCATCCTAAAGGACTTGCCACATCATAACTCATCCTCAGTGGGTATAATTGGGGTGCGTGTGAATAGCAGCTATACCTATGAACACTATTGCACATGGCTGATAAATGGATTTTTCAACTAGTTCCTACGTATTGCGGGCGATTTATTGGTTGTGCGTTTCGTAATCCGACTTTTTGTAATAAACGATTTATAGTTAATAGCAGTGCTTGGTAATCCCATGAAAGTGTTTGCTTATAAACGCTCACTCCGCTCTCAGTAGCTACCATGTATTTCAGTCGAGCATTCCCTATACAGTGGCGGATCCAGGATTTCAAGGAGGGGGCGAAAAAAGGCGGGGGTATGGGGGTCCTCTCCCAGAAAATCGCAGGAGATGGTATTGAGGCACTTTTTAGTACATGTACAGTCTTCATTCTGACTACGACAATTCTCTGTTTAGTAGAACAATTCTTGCGTTTACAACGCGACATTGATTGCTGTACAGGGGAAAGGGGTAGGCAGGGGGTCACCACCGCTGGGATGAGGGTGACAGCAAAACTATTTCTTGAAACTGTGAAAAAAGCTGCAAAACGGTTGTAACCTGCTTTGCCACTCAATTATATAATTTAACCCATGCATCAGGTGCAGCTTTGTACAGCCACGCGACTATTATACTCGGCAAAAATTAATCGGTATATGTGTAAAAATCTTGTTAGTCCAACAGAGGGGGTGGCTAGCCACCCAATCCACCCCCTCCTAGATCCGCCACTGCTATACCTGATTTAACTATACAGCACCGTCAAACCCAAAAGGGGCCTACAGCTTCCAATTAATCTACTGAAAATATATGTATATATACACATAATCGTACACGAAGTTTCCCCAGCTAAAAAAAGATCTTAGAGTTTTGCAGAATAATCAACTCTCCGCACGTCTCGTGCATGTTTATATTGAATTGCTTTCGAGAAGGATTTTCTGTTGGGTTACGTTTGCTGTACCATTCGTACTGTAGCTCTCTCCATCTCTCTCTCTCCCTACTTGTATGTTCCTACGCTAGACTAGCTGCGCCATATTTAGGCAAGCCTATGACGACGTGCAGAGAGCGCAGCTCGGGATGTATTTATAACAGAAATGCACTGGCTGCGGAACAGTTGGTGTTCGGCCTCTAGCTGCAATGGCTTCTTAGAAGAATAACATGGACTGCAGATATGCTGCCATTCTAGAATAGCCGCACCTAAAATGCCGCACGTTTGCACCGCGTATAGGCTGGTATATGAATTGTTCTAAATAACAAGTATTGTGCACTACACTCGAGAATAACAGAACAACTTTCTGAAACACACATCTGCGACTTTAAATTTAACAAGTTTCTAACGAACCAGCTAAAACATTTTTTTAAACGTTAGCTGGTTTTTTAACGAACCAGCTAAAACATTTGAATTTGAAAGTTGTTGTATTGTAAAGCGGACTGACCTTGTCTGTGGAATTCTACTTTTTCTCCAATATCACCTGTAAAAATAATATAGGATTAGATTTTAATACGTCGAAGTACAATATTTCATAGCATAAGACAGGAGTAAGCGCTAGCTAATGAGAGGGGGAAGAGGAAAAGGATAAAAATAGTGATAAAATGAAAACACAAAAGGTTTTGCTCGCAAGGTTCATGAGTGCGATAAACCAAGTATATAGCAAATTAAAACCATGTAATTACCGTTGACTTATACTAAATAACAAGTATCATAATACTAAAAATATTTTCTATAATAAATGATTTTTTATAGCATTCAATTTGTAGCTAATTCTTTTCCTCAGCCAGCAATAAAGCGAATTCGAAATCATTCTTAAACGCTGGCAGTTGCTCGTTGTTACCATACCATCTACTTCCGCGCAATAATAATCTATAATTCCGACAGGTACGTTCCTCAATAAGCTGTAAGTTTTAGCAAACATTGAAAAGGTGTCATTTGATCGAAATTCGTAAGATCGCATGACATTCCATACAGCCCTTTTTTCTCATTTTAAAATTGACATATTATTGTGACACCATGGATGTAAATTCGTAAAACATGGTTTCACAGTTAACATAGATAGAAGCGCAAAACTGACCAGCATATTCTAAGTTAATATATTGAGCTGTTAAGTTAAGTTATTATTGAGCTGTTATATTAAGTTAATATATTGAGCTGTTATATTGCACAGCAGCCTATTCTAAGTTAAGACTAATTATGCGCCGTTACAAGGACAAGTCAAACAATCATGTTACACCAGTGATAGGTTTATGGTCCAACCCGGTTTCCGCAGCACTCACCGCAGACTGAGCGCTAAATAATTAACGCATTTTAGCAATATTGAACACGCGCGCGCGCACGCACGCACGCACGCAACGCACGCACACACGCACGCACGCACGCACACACACACGCACGCACGCACGCACGCACACACAAGTTGTGTTGCCGCATGTTGATCTCTGATTGGTTGGAGCCTGTAATAAGGACCGCATGACCTAGAAGGTAGGGGAAGGAGTAAAGGTTAAAAGAGACAGGGAGATGGTGTAGAGAGCACGTACACTGAAAACTTTTCAGTGATGGACGATTTCCGGTAACAATCGGCACTCGCGCAAAAACTTCGCGAGGACGAATATCAAAACGAAACGGGTATCTTATTAAGCATAAAGCCTAGCGCACACACCCCAGCAAAACGGAAAACGTTGTTTTCCAGCGTTTCGCGTTCTGCTCGGCGAGCAAGCGCACACACGCCACCCGACACAGCACACAGCTGAGCAAAACATACAGAAACACAGGTGTTGCTATCCCCCGGGCGTGGAGTGCTACCGCAACGTGGCAACACTAGTATTAGGATTATATTATTAGTATTAGTATTAGTATTAGGTTAGGGTTAGGGTTAAGGTTAGGGTTAGGGTTAGGGTTAGGGTTAGGGTTAGGGTTAGATTATGGGGGCCGGGGGCCGGGGCGCGTTAGGGTTAAGGATAGGGTTATGGTTAGGGTTAGGGTTAGGGTTAGGGTTAGAGTTTTTGCATCATGATATCAAGAGTGCATAATAGAGATTATCTCTATTATGCACTCTTGATGATATCTGTCCCCACACCATAGATTAATTTTTGTGGATCACACCCCCTATATATAGCGATCCGATATATTAATAGTTAGTGTTACGGTTAGTGTTGGAGGTGTTGGAGTTAGTGTTACCGTTACTGTTAAGTTTTGAAGTATACGTCAACTGTATCACGTGACTCTCACTCCACGCCCGGAGGATAGCAACACCCAGAAACACTGCGTACAGCGCCGTTGTCACATGACATCAAAAATAGCCATCCAATACGATTTTGTACATCCAATTTTGTGTGTCATGTGATATTTTTAAGAATATTGATTGGAGACCGTCTGTGGCGTTTCGCTGTGTAGCAGAACGATTGACGCACACACCCGAGCAAAACGTACGCTCAGGCGAAAACACGCTTCGCGAATCAAACATTGCTTGTTCAGCGAAACACGCTCAGCTGAGCAATGTTTTTTGTTTCGGGAATCCGCACACAGCCACGAACATCGAGCGAAACACGTTTTGCTCCACGTTCAGGTGTTTTGCTCGGGTGTGGGCGTTATGTTTTAATGCTCGCCGAGCAGAACGCGAAACGCTGGAAAACAAAATTTCCCGTTTTGCTCGGGTGTGTGCGCTAGGCTTTATGCTCGAACGAGAAAATACACGTCTTCACAGGAACGTATATCTAAATACAAGAACGAATATGTTATGCAGGCGTATAATTAGTACGTATAGAATTGTGCAGTAATCGTTGGACTAGCAGCAAATGAAGATAAAATGATCTGAAAATGTTGGAACACGGAATTATTACGGACAGACAAATATTAAGCACGTGATTTATATCGCAGAACGCAACGAAGGCGATTAGATCACGCAGAGTAGAACGAGATTTAAATTAGCGTTGTATAATCGCTCGTATTAACTATTTTTCGTTATAACATTTTTCAATACTGCCTCACAGTGATATTAGGTCGCGTTCACAGTTTAACGCAAGCACTTCGACTGTTCATCGATTATTTCAGGAGTGATTATTTCTATAATATTTTGCACATGTTTGGGCTGTTGCGAGTTTTGTCTTATATATA